TGGGTAATTATCTCAAAACTAATGGGTAATTATCTCAAAAATTAATGGGTAATTATCTCAAAACTAATGGGTAATTATCTCAAAAATTAATGGGTAATTATCACAAAATTAATGGGTAATTATCTCAAAAATTAATGGGTAATTATCTCAGTTATTCGAACAAAATGTTTCACCGCTCACCAAGAAAGTTGAACAAAATAGCTTTTGTTGTAAATGTATAGAAGGTTGAATAATCAAGCAATCTACAAATTTTCCAGTTGGTACAGGTGTATAAGATTATATTTGGAACAAATTTATGCATAAAGAATCATAACGGCTAAATGGTAACAATGAATCCGTTCTTGATTACCATGCCGTTAAGAATTCCAGTTACAAATATGAGTTTCATGTCAGAACCATTAACACATCAGTTAGTAGGGCTGTCACAAATATCCATAAATATCTTGGACATAAAATCATATTCAACATTACACTGAGAAGATATGCTCTGTAGTGCCGTGTGTCACGTTCTACTTAGTTGAGGGGTTTGGTGACACAAACTCATATTCAACATTACACTGAGAAGATATGCTCCGTAGTGCCGTGTGTCACGTTCTACTTAGTTGGGGGTCTGGTGACACAAAATCATATTCAACATTACGTGATGCACGTTCACTGAGAAGATATGCTCCGTAGTGCCGTGTGTCACGTTCTACTTAGTTTTGAGTCTGGTGTTAAAATGGGTAGTGAGAATATTGAACATTTAATGTGGCTGACGTTCTACCACTGTAGTCTTAATACAAAATTAAGTTTATTGAGTTTCAAGATCACCTTTCAGCCCCATCTAATAGGATATTTTTTTATTAAAATTTATTCCGCTTTTATTTATATATAGATTTATGCCAACAATGAATGGCAAAGATATAGGTTGCACTGTTCTTCCACAACGTTTAAGTTTATAGTGTTATACCCAAACTTATGTTCTGTTAAGGTGATGTTTCAAGTAAATTGATTTATCGAAAAAGTAAATTATGTAGGTCTGTTACATAACAGGAGGTTCGGCAATGTAATTGTAAAATAATAGCGATTTCCGCTATAATTAACTGAGTTTGTGCTAAGAAGTAAATAGAACAGAACACAAAGTGTGTTGCCCAATGAAAACAACCTTCATTTAAACACAAACACAGTTTATATACTTATATTGGATGCTGGATATTTGTTTTTACTGTACCTGTGAATTGATCAGTTTGGATGTAATACCGCAAGACATATTTCCAAGCTTGCCGACTCTCTCCAGATGATGTTCCAAACTGTCTAAATTTCACATTATCTATTTGAATCTGTAACATTAGTCTGACTCAGATCAATTTGCACTAGCGCTACCCACGTGACTTTTCATTCCCATTCAAGCATAAGGGAGATTGTCACTTCTCATTGAAGGATACTACCGTCTCCCTTCTTGCACAAGGTGTAACTTTGCAGCCAGACACTTTATGGGCAGAACGGGAGTTATCTCAAAGGTAATGATAAGGGAACTAAGGTAGCTAGAACGAAATACTTAACTAATTTCTTGACCACGTGTTATGCGAAAAACTACACGTACCTAGAATAATAGAAACATTTTGAAACATTTTACATAATATAATAAGGTAGAAAACGTATTGTTATACTGTGGTGCCTCATCTTTGGACAACAAAACACGCTTCTTGGTCATGCTAAAGACTAAAATATTTATCATTACATATTGTTATTATACTCGCATAACGTATTAACTCATCACCAGGTTTACTGCATAATCCACTATACCCTGTATGTGACTAATTTAAGTATTACAACTACTACCATTTACTTCCCCTACCTGCAAAATTTCAGTGAAAAAGTCAAATGCATAGCCAAGAAATTCAATATAGAAGTCCGGTGGAAATTCTACGATACATTAAGATCCATTCTGGTAAAAAACAAACAGCATCCTACCAATAAGAAACACAAAAACTTTATTTATGAAATTCCGTGCTCCTACAACGAAACATACATTGGAGAAACGGGAAAAAGACTCGCGACAAGGATTAATTGAACACAAAGACAGTACAAGAATCATGAAAACACATGAACACGTCATGTCAACTGGACACAAGATAAACTGGGAAAAAACCTAGAATCATTGACACAGACAAATTTCGGAAGTCATGAAAAATTAAAAAATCGTTTTACATTAACACAATTAAACCTTCACTAAACAGAGATTCAGGATTAGAGGTGAGTAACCTTTGGCTACCGTTGGTTGAATCTGCAGAAAGTCTATCCACGAATCAGAAACGGGAATAAACCAACGCTTTCCACAGTCCACCAGAATACTATAAAGACCGACTACACCTCACACACACAGACGTTTTTTTTTTCCTTTCACCCATTTGGCCCAATTAGAACGATTGCCATTCTACGAACTTTTAATGTTTAAACTCGTGCAGGATTGCTAATCTTTGAACACCCTTGGTGATTAATAGTTTTCAATATAGATTATACCCACCATGTTGTCTTAATATATGTTCATTCCCTATAGAACCAAACCTTAATTTTGCGAGTGGGGCTGAAAAGAAACAACTGTTTCTGAGCATCCCAATTTGTCTTGTGAGATTTAAAACCTAAATTCATTCTTTCTTTACACATACTGACCTGAAGAAGAAAGGCGGAAGACTTTTGAAACGTCGTCCTCTACACTCGTGTTTCTACAACAGGCCTATCAAAGAAAATTAACAAACAAGTAGACCTGTAACTTGTGATAAAAATCACGTTAACTGCAGATGTTCTCTTTTCCACATTCAAAATCAAGAGTATGTAAAAATTGCCTTTCAGATGTTCCTTTTGAACGAGTCGTTGCCTAAGAAGCCTTTCTTGCAATACCAGAGCTTGTCCGTTAGGTTAGACGACAAGAAATAAAAGGTTCTTTGAAACGCAATTTATATATGTAATATAATACTTTCAAAGTTACGTTTTGAACTCCGAAAGCTGGCGAACTGTTGGAAACCGATGGGCCTAAAATTTGTGTTAAAACCCACGTTAGATGTATGTTTTTTTCCCAACATTCCTCTTAATTGTTCCATTTCGGATTCAAATCTAGAAGTGTGTTTATCACAAACCTATTTAAATAAAACTATGATATTTGTAGCTATTTGTTTTCGAGAAGGCCAGGACTTGATGAGACAACAACTTTATATAAGTACGCGATATCTGTGATAGAGAACTGTTTAGTAAACATAGAAAAAAACATTGGACTTGATGAGACAACACCTTTATATAAGTATGCGATATCTGTGATAGAGAACTGTTTAGTAAACATGAAAAAACATTGGACTTCATGAGACAACAACTTTATATAAGTACGCGATATCTGTGATAGGAACTGTTTAGTAAACATGAAAAAAACATTGGACTTGATGAGACAACAACTTTATATAAGTACGCGATATCTGTGATAGGAACTGTTTAGTAAACATGAAAAAACATTGGACTTGATGAGACAACACCTTTATATAAGTACGCGATATCTGTGATAGGAACTGTTTAGTAAACATGAAAAAACATTGGACTTGATGAGACAACACCTTTATATAAGTATGCGATATCTGTGATAGGAACTGTTTAGTAAACATGAAAAAACATTGTAATTTTTGTCTAATGTAATACAATGGTTTAATAAAAGCATTATCATTCTGTTGTTATTGTTGACCACCGAGTTATTGTTGACCACCGATACACAGTTTTACAAATACGTTCTCTCCCGTTTTTCTCAACTGATTTTGTAAGTTTTTGAACATAATCTGTTAGAATAACTACTTATGTTTCAATGTATTTAAGACTTCTGACGCAGTTTCTTTCTTACTGCATTATATAACCTGTACTTAAAGTTACCGCAAGTAACAAGGAATTTGCACAGCGTATTTACTGTATTTTGGTTTCTCCTCCACTAGGCACCTTCTCAGAGAAACAACGTTGTCTGCCAGTAAAACGTCGCATCTCTACATCATTGATCCAGACAGAAGCGATTCAGGAATTTTCAGCTGCCTAGCTTCGAATGCCTTTGGTCACGATGAAACCAATATACAACTTATTGTACAAGGTAATATATATATACATACACATTACTCTAACACAACCCCAGGAAAGAGGTAAAAAACATTGATTTTGAGCCCTTAAAATGCTATTATCAGAGCCATATTTGAAGCAGATTAGGTGGAGTTGAAACTGATTTCCAACAACATGAATCCAGGTTTCTATTAGATTTATTGTATTCTTGAGCAGGTGAGTAATATATTGGGTTCTGATTAAGTTTTTAGATTTGAATGAGGAAGAAATATAACACTGTGTTTTGTATCAATGTGCATAATAGTTTCCGCTTTTATTAGCATTAATAAAAGGATGAGTTTGTACGTGCCTTTTAAACAACTATTCACACAGACATCATACGCGAGAGAAAGGAGAGAACACAATTATTGCAGTAATGATTGAGAAACTGGATTCTGAAGAATTTGTTTTGAATTTTTACGCAAAGCTGCAGAAGAGCTATCTGCGCATAACCATCCTGAGTTTTGAGCTAATATACGTACTAGAAGGAAGGTAGCTAGTGAATTGCACCCACTCGATTCTCGGACTACTCTTATCCGACCAAGTAGTGATGTTTGAGTATCACTTTTACACCCACTGTCCCAAATGCGGAGCGCGTTTTTTTTTCTCAAAAGGGGCGCGAACCATGAACCCTTGGACTTACAATCTAGGCATGCTAAACACTAAGCTGCTTCTGGCCCAACTTTATATAAGTATGCGATATCTGTGATAGAGAACTGTTTAGTAAACATGAAAAAACATTGGACTTGATGAGACAACAACTTTATATAAGTATGCGATATCTGTGATAGAGAACTGTTTAGTAAACATGAAAAAAACATTGGACTTGATGAGACAACAAGCGCGGAGCGCGTTTTTTTTCTCAAAAAGGGGCGCGAACCACGAACCCTTGGACTTACAATCTAGGCATGCTAAACACTAAGCTGCTTCTGGCCCAAAGGATTGTGGCAAGAAAACGTTTAGTGAAAATATAGCACTGCATATTAGTATTTTCAATTTCAACAACACCTTATGGGCACGTGGGCTAAACGGTCAGGTTAGACATAGCCTAACCTGATTTAATGACCGGAGAGAGAGCAACTAGATATCGGCACTATCCGACTACATGTCTACGTTTAACTAAATATTGGGATTGACTGTCATAGCCTAAACGTTCCCACAGCTGAAAGCGCTACATCGCAATTCGAACGTTTGATCTTTCAAACCGCAGCCCAGCACGCTGACCACTTTGCCATGACTAGCCCAAAATTACAGCAAATATTTAAAGAGATGATTTCTTCAGTTTCTGAGAACAATAAACCGTATCTCATTCTTTCCAAATGGACAACAAATTAAGACATGATCCTTTCCAGTAAGCTATGGTGGTTAGTACGGAAAAACAAATATTCAAAATCAGGGTCATTCGACTATAAATGCCCCCCCAGTGGCACAACGGTATGTCTGTGGACTTACAACGCTAGAATGACTTGCGAGTATACCAATCTTATAAAAGATTTTGAAAATTATGTGGTCAGCGATCAGTGAAACATTCTTCTTCTTTATAGTGAATAAATCACTGAATTATGCAAATTACTCTGATAAGTTTTGATTAATATATTGAGGAGGATAAAATCATTTTTAAAGGTTGTTTCTCCAAGCTATTGTAATAAAGTAGTTTCTAATAATAGTCAAAATCTATAAATAGAAATATGTTAGAAACATATGGAAGGCTAGAGTGAACTCACAACAATTCCAACTTTTACAAATTACACAACACATGGACATGTGGTTAGGGCGCTCTACTCGCAATCTGAGGGTCGCGGGTTCGATTCTCCGTCCCACCAAATATGCTTGCTTTTTCAGCCGTGGGGGCGTTATAATGTGACGTTGAATCCCACTATTCGTTGGTAAAAGAGTAGCCCGAGAGTTGGCGGTGGGTGGTGATGACTAGCTGCCTTCCCTCTAGTCTTAAACTACTAAATTAAGGACGGCTAGTGCATTTCCAGTGGATATTATATTTTTAAAACAACTAAAATAGTTAGGTAAATTAGAGTTTGAATGTGTTTGAATGAGTCGTGCTGAGAAGATTCAAGATGAATGGCCTTACTATTTTTATGCACTGACTGATTACTTGTAGAATCAAGTTAATTAAAGGTTATTCAGCTACAAACAGAATGAAGAAAAATTGGTTTGTTTGTTTTTAAAACAAAGCTACAATGAGCTATCTGCTGTATCCACAGCAGGGATAGAACCCTGGATATTTCTTATGTCAAACAACAGTACCCAACGAATAGTTGAATATTGAACACTTTTGTCAACTAAAAACAACAGTATCCAATGAATAGTTGAATATTGGACACTTTTGTCAACTACAGACAACAGTACCCAACGAATAGTTGAATATTGAACACTTTTGTCAACTACAGACAACAGTTATCAAGGAATAGTTGAATATTGGACACTTTTGTCAACTACAGACAACAGTTCTCAAGGAATGGTTGAATATTGGACACTTTTATCAACTACAGACAACAGTACCCAATGAATAGTTGAATATTGGACACTTTTTTCAACTACAGACAACAGTTCTCAAGGAATAGTTGGATATTGGACACTTTTGTCAACTACAGACAATAGTACCCAACGAATAGTCTAATTCTGACTAAAGAAAGTTAGGCTATTCTATATTCTGTAAAATACAATAATTGAGAACTTTGTTTTTTAATATTATAATAAACAAAGATGACAGAACATAAATACCTTTTGGAATTCTATACTTCTCCAGACTACCTGATCTCAGCAATTTGTTTAGTTGTTGTATTTACTCAAGAATTCAGATATTGGAAGTTTTTCTTATTTTCCGTAATGAAGGCTGGCGTTGAATAATGGAAAATATGTCAATTTTCTGTTATTTAATTTATTAAGCCTAATTTAATGTTCTGTCGCATGGTTGGTTGAGCAAACCAAACAGAAATGAAATCAGATCGTATTCTATTTGTACTAACAAAGCGATGTGCATATCATATATATCTTATATCACAAGATATAATACTTAAATTAGCTACGCACAATTACATTAGCTATTGAAGTGGTTTCGAACTCTCAACATCAAAGGTTTAACAGCTGCCGTCGAAGGAGTTCTCTTTTTCTGAGTTTATGAAAACGAGGTTAAGCTCCACATCGTCCGTATTTATACAGAATCCATTAACTAAATGCGTTCGGTTTGTTACGCACCAGAAATACTGAGTTGCTCGTTTCTAGATACAGGAGAGGAATTGTCTACCCCAGAACTGGTAGCTGAAACAATGGATGGAATACTTTTCTAGCAGTTCCTGTCTTTGCTATAGCAATCATGATAACACTACTTCAGAGTCAGTTTTAGAAATCGTACGATTAGATTAATAACTAGAATAATAGTGATTAAGGTAAAGTTCATTCTCCATGGAAACCAGAACACTACTGTTTGAGAGTATTTTAAGGTATAATTATAGTTTCGTGTTTAAATACATAAGGGAAATTGTTAAAATGGACTGAAATAATGGCACACCAATCTGTCATATTAGGAGTGCGCTATTAGTTCAGCAGAAGTTAAAACGCAATTACAGTTCTCTTTAATCTAGCACAAAGTAAGTTTGGTTAGTTTAATTACTTGAGCCACATTAATTATACAGTACACTTCAGGAAACAAATCTTAGAACTTATATAGAACAGAGCGTATCATAATTTACTTTAAAATATATGTACATTCTAATATAATAATTTGCTATTTGAAGTTTAATTTCTTTCGATATTTGCATACTATAAGCTCCCCCCCCCCCAGCGGCTCGGCGGTAAGTCTGGAAGCTTACAACGATTAAATTCGAGTTTCGATAACTCATCGTGTACTTAACAACAAACACTGAAACACGTGACAGACCGTGGTTGTTTACTTTAACAACGATATTTGAATATCAGAGAAATAAATAATTTAACCTATATCCAAAATGAAATTAATTTGAACAATAAAATATTCTTACATTCACGTTACAAATACAGCACTCAGTGCCAGCTCTTGGGCTACTCTGGTCGCGGGTTCGAGTCCCATTATAGAACAAGCTCGCCCTTTCAGCCATGGGTGTGGTAGTCAATACTATTATCTGATTAGAGTAGCTCAAGAGTTAGCAGTGGGTGGTGAGAGGAGAGATACAATAGATGGCCCGATGTGGCCTTGCTTGGAAAATCACGCACACACACACCCTCTAGTCTATCACTTCAACATTAAGGACAACTATATGTAGATAGCCCTGAATTAGCTTTGCGAGAAATTTGACAAACAATCAAACTTACCAATTAGTGTAATTTGACCATCACTTTTATAACGCATCATTGGCCTCAAAGTGTGAAACCCGATTTTAGTTTTTCGTGGCAACGAAACACAAACTAAGAATATGTGGATCAACAGATCTACAGTAGGTGCATAATAGTCAGTAGGCCACACCTTGTCCTAATTCATTATATATCAGTAATGATGTTAAAAAAAAGCAACCTAGTAAAGGAGTTATGTTGGGAGTTTGTTGTACTGCAGCTTTTTTGCTATAAAATTTGTTTCCCGGTAGGTCAACATTGAGTTTATAACATTTAGAGGACCCGGCATGGCCAGGTGGTTAGGGAGCTCGCAATCTGCGGGTCGCGGGTTCGAATCCCCGTCACACCAAACATGCTCGTCCTTTCAGCCGTGGGGACGTTATAATGGGACGATCAATTCCACTATTCGTTGGTAAAAGAGTAGCCCAAGAGTTGGCGGTGGGTGGTGATGACTAGCTGCCTTCCCTCTAATCTTACACTGCTAAATTGGGGACGGCTAGCGCAGATAGCCCTCGTGTAGCTTTGCGCAAAATTAAAAAACAAAAATATCATTTAGCTGTCACAGTTGTGAAAAAATTAATGATCATTTTAGTTATATAGAATCATTGCCCGATGTGACTTTGACGTTATTGTTGATGTGCTGTGCACAGAGCTACATAATGGACTATCAGTGCTCTGCCCAGAACAAGTAACGAAACCCGATTTTTAGCGTTGTAAGCACGCAGATTTGTCATTCAGTCACTGGAGGGTATTTTGAATTTAATTAGAGTATTTTTTGTATAGTTTAAATTTAATTAAGTGCTCTACAGTTCTCTTCAAATTGATGATTGTCAATCTATATTGTAAATAACCCCATACCCCTCGAAAGTTCTGATAAAATTAAACATAAGCTGTTAACCATTCAGGTTTAATCAATGGGATACATTTATAGCAGCGTGGCGCTATCTATCGAATATAATTGGAACTAATATTGAAATAATTATGGCCTTGCATTACGATAACTTAATGTTGCAGATTTATCAATGTTTATGAACACTTTGTTACTTTATCTAAATATGAAGTGTACTTAAAATACACTTTGTTTGCTGATGGTGAGTGTTAGCTGAAAAATTATATGTTGAAAACATGTTTTTAAAACATCCCTTTATTACTGGTCAGTGTATTTTTTGTTGTTGTTTTCCCACTACTATTGGTTCTGGTTTTTAAATGACATGTTAACCATGAAAAATATTTTGTATTTTTGACGAGGTAAAGCGTGGCGGAACTTTAATAGGCTTAATCCTATCTGATAGATGGGAATAAAATGAACAATTTCAAACCATTGAAAATCCTTGAAATTTGGCGAAAAGCAAGATCAACGAATATAATGGCTTGTTTGTAATTTCGCGCAAAGCTACACGAGGGCTATCTGCGCTAGCCGTCCCTAATTTAGCAGCGTAAGACTAGAGGGAAGGTAGCTAGGCACCACTCACCGCCAACTCTTCGGCTACTCTTTTACCAACGAACAGTGGGATTGACCATCACATTATAAGGCCCCCACGGCTGAAAGGGCGAGCATGTCTGGTGTGACGGGGATTGCGAGTCGAGCGCTCTAACCACCTGGCCATGCCGGGCCTCAACTAATGTATCCATTAATATTTAAATAAATATGTCCTAACTATTAATTTTCTGCTTTTATATATATACATGCTGTAATACCATGAATATAAAGAGTACCTTAATCGGTGAGTAAACAATTTACGTAAGGGTTTTTTTTGTTTCTTTTTTTTTTCACAGAACCTCCGGATAATCCTCAAAGTGTCAAAGTAGGATCTTTCACGAGCAGAAGTGTCACGTTGTCATGGTTACCACCGTTCACGGGAAATAGTCCTATAGTGGAATACGTTGTGCAATGGAAGAAGAAAGAAGGTATTGCTGAAGAGGGTATTCTAGAACTGAATCTAAAGCATTAAAATATATAGTGGAGATATTTTCCTCAGTTAAAACATTTGTTTATAACATTCACAGTATTATATGATAACAGTGGGAAAATGTTGGTTTCAAACCGAGGAGGTCTCTTTATGATCAAACAAGATAATTTGAAATCAAAACCTCAGTTTAGTCCAAAGATCATCCACTTTGAAAAAGACAATATTGTACCTTTCGAAACTCTCAGGTTTTGATATTTCCTAAATTGCGATCGAGGAGGTCTCTTTATGATCAAACAAGATAAGTTGAAATCAAAACCTCAGTTTAGTCCAAAGATCATCCACTTTGAAAAAGACGATATTGTACTTTCCGAAACTCTCAGGTTTTGATATTTCCTAAATTGCGATCTACATACTATATAGTAATTGGGTAATGGGTATTTTATAAGTATCATAAAGAAATTTTTCACTCAAAAATAAAGATTTTTTTTTGCCTGAACTAATGGGACTATAAAAATCCTTAATTACTGACATACTCGGTTAATTTTAATAAAAGAAATTAACTTTGAAAACAAGGTGGACGACAAATTGGATTTGAAATACGTATATACGTACTTCGTAGTCTTACGTAAATACAATCAAATGCGTTCTGTGCTTCGTGTGTAAGCCAAAAAGTTGTCGTCTTGGAAGCAAATATTTGAATAATTCAGGGATGTTATTTGGAAACTTTCTGAATAAGTTGATGAGATTGTAGTTGTTTTTTGTTTTTTTTTACGTTTGGTAATGCTGGATTTGTTTTTGTTATCCTTATTTAATTTTTTACTTCAAGTCTCTTTTTTAATTAGAATTAATAACTGGTTTGTTTGTGTGTTTTATT